ACAGGCTCGCACGCGCTCACAAAACCGTACGCGCAGGCGCGCCGCCCGTCCGCCTGACGCGCGCGCGCGAGCGACCGAGCGCGGCGCTGGGCTGGGCTGGCTGCGGTGTCCTTGAGGGAACGACCTTGCAGGAATTTGGTGGGTTGGGTTGTGTTGGGTTGGGCGCTGCGCCTACTCCACACCGCAGGCGGCCGGGTCCCCCGCCGCCGCGTCCTCCCAAGGCAATGGAGCTGTCGAGAGATGAAATGTGGCCGTAGCCATACGCACGGGGGCCTGCCTCTCGCGTAGTTTTCGAAAAGAAAATCGAAAAACTAAACACAGAAATGCGCCATTAAGAAAACAACAGCAAATCCCTGAAGGCGTACGTGTTTTGCCCCGAGAAAAGACAGCTGCTTTTCTTTCCATTCCTTTTTTTATTGTTCGAGGGATGATGAAATATAGCATCTTCCATTAAGGCCGCTCCTCACGCCCGTAATAGTTTACTTGCCCTTCTTTCGCTCGCGGGCACTCTGCATCGTTTCCTGAAACGGTTTTCTATAATAGTAGTCTAATTAATAATTGGGCTGCACGCTAGCAGCTTCTGTTTTGCCCCGTCCAGCGCCCGCAGCGTGTTCGGCCAACATTATACTGGGCCCTGGCCCTGTAATCAGGCTCGAGCTGCTGCCAGGCATCCGAAAGCGCGGAGACGGCGACGGCAGCTCCCGGTCGTGATGTAAAAATGTTCCTCTTACGGAGGCTGAATAAATTTCCATTGCTTTTCTTGCCCGGCCGCCCGGCCGGGCCGGGCCGGGCCGGGCCGAGCCGGGTCGGGCCTCGAGATGGTAATTTATCAAGGGAAACAGATCTGGCGCCCCGATCGACTCTGCCAGGTGCGCGTTCGGAAAGATCTCGGGAGAATCGAGAGGCGGAGCCGGGACGCTGCTCGGGGCCCCGTTGGGGACTGCAAGTGTCTCCGGCGATCGGCACGCAATGACGAGAAGAGTAGGCATACAAACCTGGGCTCCAAGTTATGAAGATTTACATAACACCTTTTGGGGGATTCCAACAGGCCATACGCATATTTTAATGCTAAATGAGGTAATGCAGTGGAGAATAGGGCGAATGTTTCTCTAATTCGATGGAAACATTTTTTCCTCCCATCAAATTTCCACATTTTATGGCAGCATTTGGATGTTTACATTCTTTACATTGTATCTGAAGGAGAGAAAAATATTTTTTTTTAAAACGCTGCAGAACGTGAAAATAATTTGCAACAGTATTGAAGCAGCGTAAATAGTTATTAACAACAAAACTTAGTTCACTTAAATTCATTCTCAGGCCTCACATTGCCTAGAGACGAAATTAAAATTCAGTTCTCAGGCCCAACGGGCAACTATGGCCACAGTACCGAAGAAAGTTCTAGGCCCTTCACGCCTTCACATTCTCACGCCCAGTCTCCAGTGCAATTTCCTCGTAAGCCTAGAGGCAATTTACATAGCCACTGCATCGAAATAGGCTACTGCCAATATTCTGTTGTATTAGAGGCAAGTGGCTCCTGCTGGCGCACAGGCAGCCCGCAAGGTGCGTTGCTCCCACCGCGGCCACGACGTCTAACCGCCGTCTC